ATCTTAGGAGTCAAAGTTACCAAAACTGAGAAGGGATTTTCTTTTATGTCAAGCACATTATATAGAGAAAGTGCTAAAGAAATTTGATAGTTTTGATGTCGTCCCTGTTCGAACTCCTTATGACCCTAGCATACATCTAGTTAAGAATAAAGGAAGTAGCGTTTCCCAAACTGAATATGCTAAATTAATCGGAAGCTTAATGTTCTTAATGAACTATACTCGGCCTGATATTGCTTATGCTGTGAGTAGACTGACTAGATATACTCATAATCCGAGTGGTGAACACTAGATTGCTCTTAAACGCTTACTGAAGTATCTTAAGGGTACTTTGGATTGGAAACTTGAGTTCGTTGGCTTTCCTGCGGTACTGGAAGGATATTGTGATGCCAATTGGGTTTCTGATAATGATGAGGTAAGCTCTACGAGCGGGTATGTTTTTACTTTGGGTGGAGCAGCAATCTTGTGGAAATCATTAAAGCAGACTTGTATTGCTCGTTCTACCATAGAGTCAGAGTTTATAGCTCTTGACCTAACTGGGCAAGAAGCCGAGTGGCTCAGAAGCTTGTTAGCAGATATTCCGTTGTGGGGAAGACCGACTCCTCCGGTTTCATTATTGTGTGATTCACAAGCTATGATATGTGTGGCTAAGAACCAAGCTTACAATGGTAAGAAAAGGCACATTCTCATAAGACATGAATATGTTAGACAGTTAATAAAGAATGGAGTGCTCTCTTTAGAGTATGTGAATTCAGAAATGAACCTAGCAGATCCACTTACCAAAGGGTTAAGTCGAAAGCTGGTCCTAGATTCGTCGAGGGGGATGGGTCTAAAGCCCATTATTGAGGAATTCATGGTGGATACCCAACTTAGTTATCTAAGTTCCATGTGGTCAAACGAAACCATGGAAAGACTCATAGTGCACATTCCTACTGCCTATCCCTATGATGAATAATGTGCATACCCAGGATGAGATTAATTGTTCTTAATAAATTCATAGCCCAGGCTTTGGGTGGTCTTAGTGAGAAAGACTTGATGAATTTACCGATTTTGGCTTAATATCTATTCTTAATAAGTTCATAACCTAGAGTGAGTAGGTAGGAAATGATGAACTTACCGACAGAAAGGTTGAGTTTGTTAAACTCTTAATAAATTCAAATCCAAGTATTTGGATGGTTCTAGTGAGAAGGACTTATTGAATTTACCAATAAATGAGGTTGAATATTTATTCTTAATGACTTCTTAGCCCAGAGTTTGGGTGGTTCATTTATAATGAACTTGAAGAAAGTCACCATACCCTTTGTGAGGTTGAGCTATTATAAAAGCTCTTAATTATTTCATATCCCTTTTAAGGGTGGTTTATGTTGAGATAAACTTGATGAAATAACCTATGTAAGTGAGCAGGGTTAGCCGCCTTCTATGAAAAATGTTGGGCCATTTTTCTAGCACACTTACTAGAATCCTGAGGTAAGATGGCCAAATATATACTTTTGTATATATATATCTTACACATCGAGGACTCAAGTAGATGAAGGGGTTAGTTGTGTGTTATGAGTTTACCCCCATCTTAGAAAGTTCCAGACTAGTTTCACTTATCTAAGAGAAGGATTGCTCATCATCACTATGTACTAGTTCCAGATACGTTCACTAGTGCTTAAGCAACTAATCTCGCTATTGCTCTTCTGGAAAGTTTGTTTTCGAGTTTCAGAAGATTTCTTTCGCATTAGTGGGGGGAATGTTGGTAATGCTCAATCCCACATAGTATTGGAAACACTATTGGGAATGGTATTTAAGGCTTGACTTTCCCACTTTCTTGTTGAGTGATAGAGAACAAGGGGGACTCTCGCGCACCGCCGTCGCCGTCCGTCCGTCTCGGCTCGGCACGGCTCGGCTCGGCTCGTGGTCGTGGTCGTGGTCGTGGTCGTGGATGGTAATACGTGTCTTCGACACATCCGCGTGGATACTATCTTTTTAGAGAAAATTCTTGAGGAATTTCTCTTTGAAAGAAAAAAATGGAAAAATGTGAAAGATTTCAACTGATATTTATAGGCTGCTAAGGACTGTTTAATTTCAAATGATAACAGCTGGTTTATGAGAGTTATAAGAAATTAAACAGCTTTTCCTAAATTAAATCAAATACGTTAAGATGTATCTGGACTGATTTCCAGCTTTGTACAGAGGAGACAAGTTGTTAATATCAGGAGTTACATGAGTTATTTGATTTAATTCCATGGGTTACATGATATAATTTCAGGAGTTATAACAGTTGAACAATGATGCAATGAACCTGGACTATTTTTGAGTCAGGTTCATCTATACGTTTCAGCTGTTACAAAAGAATAATCCTGAAATTTTACAGACGATTTTAACTCTATTTCTAGCCTATAAATAGAGGGCTATATTCAGCTTCTCAACTCACTCTCAAACATTCACAATTCACTTACAAAAGTGTTTTCTGCAATTATTCTTTCTGTGCTTTCCGATAAGAAGAGCAATACCACCGGCAGTCCACTCTGATTTTGGGTGTACGGAATTCGGAGCGATCGTGTTAACCTCGGGGGACGGTCCGCCTACTACAGCGATTACACACATCGGGGCAAATTTGTTTCTAAGGCAGTGTGGTTATACCACGACACGGTTTACGAATCTTTTTCCTTTTAATTACTGTTTATATTTCCAGTCAGTACTAACGGTGTAGTTTTGCAGTTCATATATCCAACAGGTACTAAAATAAAACAAGAGAAAATAACTTCAGTGACCAAAAATATCTTATCATATACTATTTTAACCAACTTTTTTTGGATTTGCCAAAATGACCAACTAAATCGCAATGCGATCGATAATTCGCAACGCGATCTACGGTATCGCAAATCAGTTTCCAGATTCGCAATGCGATTTTGGACTATCGCAATGCGAATATGTAAATCGCAATGCGATAGTCGAAGTTCGCAATGCAAACTTGGACTATCGCAATGCGAACTTCGACTATCGCATTGCGATTTACATATTCGCATTGCAATAGTCAAAGTTCGCATTGCGATAGTCGACTATCGAAAATCGCAACGACTGGTGGTATTGCATTTGTTTCTTAAGAATTTTCTCTAAAAAGATAGTATTCGTGCGGACATGTCGAAGACACGTATTACCACGACCACGACCACGACCCGACCCGACCCGACCCGAGACGAGACGGACGGCGACGGCGGCGACGCGCGAGAGTCCCCCTTGTTCTCTATCACTCAACAAGGAAGTGGGAAAGCCAAGCCTTAAATACCATTCACAATAGTGTTTCCAATACTATGTGGGATTGAGCATTACCAACACTTGTTTCCAATACAATGTGATTATTCAGGAAACAATTAACAATCATGCACCTTAAAACAACTGAATCAGCAACCAATTGCATTAGTATTATACGATTAAATATGTCATAATTAAATGTCAATCTACAATCAATCGCGATTATTGCAATTTTAAGCAAAATATTCAAAAATAATATCACTATTTAAGGCTTAATCCCACATAGTATTGGGAACAAGTGTTGGTAATGCTCAATCCCACATAGTATTGAAAACACTATTGGGAATGGTATTTAAGGCTTGGCTTTCCCACTTCCTTGTTGAGTGATAGAGAACAAGAGGGACTCTCGCGCGCCGCCGCCGCCGCCGTCCGTCTCGTCTCGTCTCGTCTCGTCTCGGGTCGTGGTTGTGGTCGTGGTCGTGGTAATACGTGTCTTCGACACGTCCGCGCGAATACTATCTTTTTAGAGAAAATTCTTAAGAAACAAATGCAATACCACCAGTCGTTGCGATTTTGGACTATCGCAATGCGAATATGTAAATCGCAATGCGATAGTCGACTATCGCAATGCGAATATGTAAATCGCAATGCGATAGTCGAAGTTCGCATTGCGATAGTCCAAGTTCGCATTACGATAGTCGACTATCGCATTGCGATTTACATATTCGCATTGCGATAGTCCAAGTTCGCATTGCGATAGTCGACTATCGCATTGCGATAGTCCAAAATCGCATTGCGAATCTGGAAACTGATTTGCGATACCGGAGATCGCGTTGCGAATTATCGATCGCATTGCGATTTAGTTGGTCATTTTGGCAAATCCAAAAAAAGTTGGTTAAAATCGTATATTATAAGGTATTTTTGGTCACTGAGGTTATTTTCTCATAAAACAAAAGTTAAACGTTAGGTATGACTTTGAAAAAATTAAAAGTTTAAATACTAAAACGGATCAAAACTGATAATTTAGGTACTAAGCACGTAATTTTCCAAACAATAAAACATGCCTACTTATAATGATTAACTATTTTTTTTAAATAACAAACGAACATACCTTAGTGGTTAAAGGAATCAATGTTGTTGTTTTTAAATCACGTTGTCAAGCTGGTTTCATTTGCATGGTATTGGAAAAAAATATTATCACCTACGTTATCAAAAATAAAATGTTACTCCATAAAATTAGACAAGTGAATGATAAGAAATTACTAATCAAACAAAAATATAACCAACGCATAAATTTTAGGTAAAACTTTTAGACGAGAAAAAAATTAAAATAAAAGAGAAGAAGTTCACTATCGTCAACGATTTTACAAGCGAATTATAAACTTAAGCTCAAATTTCTATATATATATATATATATAGACTCGAATATTTTTCATATTCGTCGCAAACTCCTATTTTATCTTAAAATAATTGTTCATCAAACAAATATTTTTAGATTGAACCAAACAGAATTTGAATCACGATATTTGACAAATATAAATCAATTTCATAATATTTTTTCGCTATATGAAAATAATAACACAAGATATAATTTTAAAATTATATAAAAATTATGTAATAATTTCTAATTCGTACCTGAAACTAAAACATTACCGATTTCCCCTTAAATCTTTAAATTTACATTTTGGCCCTCGAATCATGACAATCTCTATAAATGGAACCCCACCTGCACCATCATTTCTTCCAAAGAAAAAAAGCAGCGGAAAGATGTATTCTAAAGTCAGCTTTTGCATGATTACGTTTCTCTTCTTCTTCTTCTTCGTATTATCTTCTTTCGTTGTTGCCCGACCACTGCCTACATCTTCATTTCACCATGCTAATCAACAACCGGTATGTATATATATCGCGATCAGAAATTTAAATTACGGTTATAGTCGCGTTTTCTACTGCATTGCATTTATTGAGATTAAGGACATATAACGCTGCTATTCCAATAGTGGACTGTTATTTGAATCCCCCGATCATTAAATTTGCTTTAAAACTTAATATTTTTCACCTTCTGGCTTTAATTGGGACTTGTTTTGAATGAAAAATATTATTCTAGGATGATAGCGGTGAAGCAAACGATATGAAGGTGGAGTTGGAGGATAGGTGCGAGGGAATTGCAGAAGAAGAATGCTTTATGAGAAGAACACTTGCAGCTCACGTTGATTACATCTATACACAGAAAACCAAGCCTTGAAGTTGAAGGCCTCTCTTCATAAATATTTTATCATTTATGCACACTTTGCTGTTAATATATAGTTTTAATTCATAAATTTGTGTCTTCCTATGTATGTATGTATAGTGTTCGACTCTTCTATTAATGTAAGAGAAGTTTATTCGAGATTTTTTTAATAGTTCGAGCGATTAAAATATAGTATTTTTTTAGTCGGTGACAAATCTAGAAATATTTTTGAGAATGAACATTTATATATTAACGGACACTAATAAAATTTTAGAATGGATACCATTTGTAAAATGAACAACTAACATAAAGAAATTTGGTTCCAACCTAAACTCCATATATATTTTAGCATAGGCCAGTGTTCTAAGTCACTGAAAACACACAAACATTACAAACGCAACTGTTCGAACCTAAAGTTTTTAAGAAGAATATATGTCTATTCTACCATTAAAATCACTCAATGAGTTCGACATTACTCGAGTTTTTTTTATTGTATTGTCGGTCTAAAAATAATCCTTTTTAGACTGAGCTTATTGATATTGCCTAGATTTGTTTTGTTTAAATTGAGTCCTCAAAAACTTTTATAGAGTCGAATTAGCTCTTTAGCTTGATAATTTTGATCAAATTGGCCTTGGGATTATATAGCAACCTATAAGTTTAGAGGTTAATTTGATCCAACTATACCTTTAAGGGTTTGTTCAACTAAAATTTTCAACTTTAGGGGGCAATTTAACTTTAAAAATGTCGACACCATTTTTCGCCCGGACGGGAAAAGACCGATACCGACTCGGGGGTTTTCTCTTTAAAAAGGATTTCGAAATGTGAGGAGTCGCCACCAATCATTTAAGGTGCGATTGGACACCATAAAAATAGGGAGATTTTAATAAAACATGTTATTTTTATAAAAATACCGAGTTTTGAGGTCTGCAAAAATCCAGAAATCGGGTTCGGGAGTCAGTTACATGTGAGGGAAGGATTAGCACCCCCACAAGAGCCCAAAAATTGGTACCTAGTTGATTACCCTATATTTAAAATCGAAAATTTTGAGTTCGAACTTAATTTAATTAAAAAATCATTACGGATGCAAAGTTGAAAAATGTATTATTTTATTAAAGCTGATAGCATTCGCCCCCAACATAAACGCGGGATATCAACTATTGTGCCTAATAACCGAACATTGCCTTAGTTTCGGAAAACATGATGCGATTTTGAGAAGGATGTCGACTTATTTTGGAAATCACCAGTAGCCACTCCTTGAGCATATTTACGGGAGATATACTATTAATTTCCTAATAAGTGAACATTGCATTAGGGTTAAAAGCAAAGTGCAAATCAGATAAAATTTTATTTATCATAATTAAGCTAAGGTAAATTAAAGGCTTTTTCTAGCTTAAAGTGTTAAATTGTGAAAGTTAAAGGATCTAAAGGCTCAAACCTAGAGTGTAGGTTCTTATATTAACCTTATTTGATTTTTAAAACCGATTATTGAATCGATTAACCGAGGTGGTCCCTTGAGCATTTATGCGAGGGTCGACTCAGATTATTCCCTAAATTAAGGGGACTACAGTGAAATCTATCTAAAAGTGGAGGTTCTATTTAACCTATTTAATTATGTCAAAATTAAAACACTAATTGAAGTTCGGGGATTAAAAAGGTCGAGACCTAGAAATATCTATTTCTAAAAGATTTAAAAGCACGAGGACCTAAATTGATAAATTCTAAAGTTGAGGACTAATTAAAAAACCTAATTATTATCTAAATTATTAAACTTAAAGTTTTTTTTTAGAAAATATTAATTATTTATAAATTTTAAAGTCGAGCAATCGATTTGAGTAATCGTGCATCTTATGCGGAAATGCGACTCGAATTACTCCCTAATTAAACTAGAGTGTCATCCTAATTTCTAAGCTTGATGCAAATGTTACAATTAAATCTAAGAATTTAAACTATGAAATATTGAAACATTTAATAAACTTAATTAAAAAATAAATAAAATAAACATAAAATAAAATAAATCTAAATTTAAGGACCTAATTGAATGAATATTAAATTAGTAAACTAAAAGGGAATAAATTAAACATATAATGAGGCTAAATTGAAACAAGTTGAAATTTGAAGACTAAATCGAAATAAAATACAAATAAAAAGATTAGGGCTTAAAATACAAAAACATGCGTAAACTACAGGGACCTAAAAGCAATTTTTCATTTTATTTAAGCCTAAAAATAACATGTTAAATAAAAAAGGAAAATTACAAAATCAGTTCACATGTATTTAAAAAAAATTAAAAGGTCACTACATATGACTAAAATGCAAAAACACACTAAAAGTAAGGGGATTAAACTGCAATTATTCCAAAATTTTCAAAGCACAAACAGAAAAAGGAAAATTATAAAATCGGTCCCTTCCAGTGACCATTTTGTAAAAACACGGGAAGGTTTGGGAAACCTAAAATGTGATTTCCCCTAAAACTATTTTATAAATACAAACTTTTTTTATAATTTCATTTAAAAAAAAAACTAGAGAGAGAGAGAGACTCCCCTATCTCTCTAGAATCCGGCCAGTTGCCAGCCGCCGTCTTGGTCGCCGTCGCACCGCCACCAAATTTCACGGGCAGAACTGTCTCAACGTTAGGATCTCGAATCGGGACTCCGTTTTTCAAGAATCGACCTCCTTCGCCGTGAAACAAGACAAGAGCTTTTCGACTTCCACCGCCAGGATCTCCGTCGTCTGTTATTGTATTAGACCCAAATTTTAATATGTTGCTCGTTGACTCCTTTTTTCCATTTCGACCGTTCGGATTCACGAACAAAGGTCCCCGTCGTCGGCGAAGCTCCGACTGAAGGTAAGATGCTCTCCTATTCTCTATATTGTTTTGGAAATTAAAGGATAGAAAAAAAGATTTAATCGATCTGAAAAAAAATAAAATCCTTGAAACGCCTCTGTTGTTATTGCTGTGAAAAGATTACAAAATTTCCATTATTTTTTTGAACTGACGAGAGCCATTTTACATTGTTCATGTGTTGGTCTTATACCCATTTTTGCATAAATGAAATGATTGAATTTTGGTTGCTTGTATGATTGTTTGTTGTAGTGGAGTGGATTTGGGGTGGTGACGTGCACGGAAGGAGCTTTCCTTCGGTTGGGGCAGAGGGAGGTGTCAGCTGAGTGGTCACTGGGTTGGCTGCAATTGATTGGGGGTTTGGGTGGTTTGGTTTGGGTTGGTTCGGTTCGGTTCGTGTCTTGGGTTTGATTTGTAAAATAAATAAACTAAAAAATGGTGCTCACAACTGCCCTCTTTTTTCATTGCTGTGAAACGGAAATGAAGCAAATATAATAGAGCGTCATTTCTGACTCAATCTCTGCTCTTCAAGTCACGGGTTATTCTCATCGTGATATTTCTATTGGAAATGTTGACCCCCTCAATTGAGCAATAGGGCGAACAAGTTCTTCTCATTATGAACTTCTTCTCCCTCTGTCAGGTGAGTTCATCTCATTATGAACTCTCTATTAAAAATGTCAATCCCTCAAGCAAGACGTTGCTAATTCGAAGTGTTGTGAATCGAGCAATAGGTCGAACAAGTTCTTCTCATTATGAACTTCTTCTCCCTTTGTCGGATGAGTTCTTATCATTATCAACTCTCCATCAAAAATGTCATTCTCTCAAGCGAGGCGTTGCTGATTTGAAGTGTTGTGAATCGAGCAATAGGTCGAACAAGTTCTTTTCATTATGAACTTTTTCTCCCTCTGTCGGATAAGTTCTTCTCATTATAAATTCTCCATCGGAAATGTCAATCCCTCAAGCAAGGCATAGTTTGTTTTAAGAAAAATAATCTCAAGTGAGATAAATCTTCTATTTCGAGTGAAACTATCTCAAGCGAGATAAAATCTTGTGTTTCGAGTGAAACTATCTCAAGCGAGATGAATCTTTTGTTTCGAGTGAAACTATCTCAAGCGAGATAAAATCTTCTGTTTCGAGTGAAACTATCTCAAGCAAGATAAAATCTTCTGTTTCGAGTGAAACTATCTCAAGCGAGATAAAATCTTATGTTTCAAGTGAAACTATCTCAAGCAAGATAAAATTTTCTATTTCAAGTGATACTATCTCAAGCGAGATAAATCTTATGTTTCGAGTGAAACTATCTCAAGTGAGGCATTACTGATTCAAATTGTTGTGAATCGAGCAATAGGTCAAACAAGTTCTTCTCATTATGAACTTCCTCTCCCTCCGTCGGATGAGCTCTTCTCATTATGAACTCTTCATTTGAAATGTTAATCCCTCAAGCAAGGTGTTTATGATTCGAAGTGTTGTGAATCGAGCAATAGGTCAAACAAGTTCTTCTCATTATGAACTTCCTCTCCCTCTTTCGGATGAGCTATTCTCATTATGAACTCTCCATTTGAAATGTTGATCGGTTCATCTTCTTTTTTAAAGATTTAAACCTGCAAAAGATTATCATGTGTCATTGTTTTGGTGTTTGAAATACCCGAAGGTATTGATTTAAAGGTCTTCGAATGTTGTTGAGATCCAAGAAAAATATGGACTGATTCTTTGCTGAAGTCGTGAAATGAATCTTTGTTAACTCCCTGAATTATATCATCCAATGAATCTTTTCTCCTTTATGTGTGCCATGTTTTTGTCTTTGTTGGAATCATCCTAGGAGTGACACTACTCACTCTCATTAAACAAATCCCCATATCAACGAAATAATTCTTTTCGATTGAGCTCATCGATCCTTGAGGCTTAGCCACTTTGAACAAAATCTCCTTCATTCGAGGCTCGAATCATGTTCTTTCTTCGCTCTCTCATTTCTTTCGACAATCCGTAAAAATTTGCCTTGATGCATGAAATGTGAATGAAATATATATATATGTATGTAATGCATGAAGTTCATGAATGCAAGAATGTTGATCATCAATTCTTCTTCTGGATCAAAGTGTAGACCTCAGTCTTCATTCACTTGATTATCTTTAAATGGATCTTGCCTCAATATCGAGGTAATAACTTGACAGCCCAGGTTTATAATCTTTTGAGGATCAGTATGATAATCTTGTGGTATTTGTTTTTCTGTCTTCATTTCAAAGGAAATGT